AAAAAAACATGTTAAAAGCATTATTAGTTTGCTAAGAAAGAAAGTTCTAAGAGACTGTGGGGAAATTAAGTAGCTGCCTTCTTCCCTACAGCAGGAAAAAATATGTAATGGTCTTCCATCTGGCATTTCATATACGTGAACATTTCCTTAGTGCTCACCGGCACTGACACCATTGTCCTAACAGGATACGCTACCTTTCCTGAACCTTGGATTTCTCCAAAGGCCTTCTTCTCCAGGCAAGTCTCAAGAATGTTTACTACGCCACATCTCTGGTACTGTAGCTAACCATCTTAACGTATACTGAGAACAAACAATAAACTCAGTATTTGGGATATGCTACTTCATATCTCAAATGTGTTAAGCCTAGGAACAGCCAGTGACTTTCCTTCATTTGCCTCACCCTTTTGCTAGCATTTCGGTTCAGGCTGAAATAATGACACCAGAACTTCTGAAGGGACAAGGTGCTAGAGCTCTCCCTAATTTGCTTTTGCCAAGATCTAGCCACAGAAATCCAGCTCCATGTCACAGAACTCAAGGAAGAATTACAATTAGATTGAGGCAAAATGGGGAAAATTTAAGAAGAGTAAAAAGGTACATGTTTCCTTTTAAGAAACTGAACACAGAATACAAACCAACGACATTATACCCTTCCAATCCACATACCCCAATAATTGGCACAACAGAGCCATTTACCTTTATTCTTCCTTGTAAGGATCTCAGCCTGTTCCCAAAGATCAAAGGCAGTAAGGACATGGGACGTGATGGTGACATAGGAAGATGTCATGTTCTGGATGGTGACTGGGGTGCTGATGGTGGCAGTCATCCCACTCCCCACACTGCCAGCACTTGACTGGGACCCTACAGAGCCAGCAGGAGAAGGCATTGGGGAAAGAGGGGATGGTGTGCCTGTGCTTCTGGAATGTGGAAGAGAAGACAGAACCAGTTAATCACCTACACCCCCAGACCACGGATTTCCTGTCTCTGGAACTGCAGTCCAAGTCACAAAGTTTCAGTGTGTACGTGACAAGGTGATAATCACTGCTAAAGTCACTCCTACAAGGTCAAAGACACCATGATGGATTAATCTGTATTCCAAATATGCTTTCCCATCCCATCTGCAGAGTTTACTTCTGCTTCCTGGAATCCCTCCCTTTTCCTCTGCCCAATTTCAACAATTCATCCTAGTAAGATAAAACTTCCTATATACATGAGGGTACGTTAAAAGGTTCATGGAAAGATTTGTATTAGCTTTTAATTCTATTTTTCCACAAACTTTCTGAAGTACTTCACATATATGTCACTCTTTCATCCACTCAGCAAACACTAACCAAGCACCTACTCTGCACCTGGCACTTTTTCATATGTGGCTACCTTGTGGCTTCCTTTCTGCCACCACTCGAACTTTTTTTCTTGCATTCATCTTGTCTATTCCTTTTCCTGGGTCACAGCACCATAAGGCAGAGAACATGTCTTACTAATCTTTGCATTACTAGCACTTAGCACAGTAGGAACAAGAGTAGGCTTCTGAATCAGTGAATTTACTACTAATGTAGGATAACCTAGGAGGAGACTAGGCAGGGAAGGATGCATCAGAAGACTCAAAAGCTTATCTTTACACTGCTCTTGGCTGAATATCTGGACATGCAAGTTAACATGTGCTTCAATGTGGCTCAAATAAGACAAGTGAAATCATTTCGACACAAGAAGTAAATGGATATAAAGTGGAGAGATGGACAGCAGCAGTAGCCTCACGATGTCACACCTGCCCTGTGGTCTGCTTGGTCCTAAGTGCACCCAGCAGGAAGAACATGCACAAGGGTTGAAGTGGAGGCCCCAGGAGGGCAGTGACTCTGGGCTGTTTTGTTTCCTGCTGCATCCCCAGTAC